TGTTGGAATGCAGATAGTTCCCCTTGTATCGAGATGGCAAGCTGTTCAATTTTGGCGTCTATTATTTTGCCGAAGTCCGCTTTGACTGCATGTATTTCCAAGCGTAGAGAAGAAATTACGTTAAGATTTGCTGCGTTAACCGTGTCGTGAGAATTTTCGGCCGGTGTATCATCTGCAGCTGAGTCCGATGCAGGCGTGGCCTGGTCTGTTGCTTTACAAGGTTTAGTTGGCTTGTTAAACTCCAAATATAACGTTAAAGCCAACAGCTTGGGGTGTATCAGTTGTAAATCGAGTTATGTTCCTTTCCCTGATGACAAAGGATTACTAAAAGATGTTCTGATTGAATTAATTTAGATTTTAGTGCGGAGCTGTCTTATACCGCGTGCTATTCGCTCATATCGAAACCGGAAGTCCTCACTGTTGTTTTCAAATTACTTATGTAACTTGTCTTTCAGAATGTTTTTAGTTGTTTTAGTTATTAACCTCAGATCAGTGTTGCTGTAATTCCTGATCTATGGAAAGAATAATTAGGTTAGTCAAGGAGTATACTACTATATTTACTATTATATTAAATGCAGTTATGTTACCTAAAACAGAGTATGTCTATATTGTGGAAAATAGATCATGCTTATGAAAAATTACTTTTTATTATTTTGTACAGCTGTTATTGAAATGACACTAAGTTTAACATTACATTTTACAGCAAGCAATGCCACAACTACAGGACCTATCCTTACTCTTCTCATAAAGTAAGAACTCAGAGACATGATTGAGATGTTGTGACATGACCTAAAGAGAGCGATTCACACCAGACATCCCAAGAAAATTGCTGAATTGAAATAGATTTGTAAAGAGGAATGGTCCAATATCCCTCCTGACCATTGTGCAGGTCTGATCTGCAACTACAGGAAAAACTTGGACAAAAGAGGTTTAACCAGTTCATAAACCCAAAGGTTCACATACTTTTTCCAACCTGCATTTTGAATGTTTACATGTTGTGTTCAATAACATATAACATGAAAATAACAGAAAAACATTTAATATATGTGTGGTAATAGTTTAAACAGACTGTGTTTTTCTATTGTTGTGACCTAAATGAAGATCACAACACATTTTTGTGTAATCCTATTTATGCTGAAATCCAAGTAATCCCAAAGGGTTCACATAGTTTTTCTTGCAATTGTATAGACTGTCATCCATAAAGGCTGATTTATACTTCTGCGTCAAATGCACACGTATGCCACGGCGCAGCCTACGCATGGACGCATGGCCCTACACTGTGACCGTCGACGTCGCTGACTTGCACCTCTCAAAAAATTTAACTACACGTCACAACGACGCATAGCGCAAGCTCTGTGATTGGTCGGCTTGGTAGCGCTGATAAGTCTGGGCGAGCCCAATGGGACGATTGTTTACAAGTGTGGAGTCCCGTGATGGAGCTCCGGATAAGGTGTTAATGTGACTCTGTGTCGAGTTTCTTTGCCTGTGTTTTGTTCTTTTTGAACGCTTTCAGGATGTACAAGTGGCTCAAACTCGCTCATTTTAAGGCAGGAACCGGCGGACGTTTAACTATGAGGTAAACACAAAACAAAACTTTTCATCCGGGGGGGTATTCCAGAAAGCTGGTTTAACTTACCATCTGCTAAACCCTGAACTTTCGGTTGATTTACCCAAAACCTGCTTACCGCGAGTATGTTGGCTCCAAAACAGGTGATAAGAGTTAGTTAAATCAACCTCCTGAAGATAACCGCGGGTTAATGCGCGTGCACGGCATATACCTGAAGGCATTTTCAGTAGATCGCCGAATTCACGAGTCACTATAGAAAGTCACGGTGAGAAAAAAAGGCAACGCACTTTACAAAGGCGAAGCTGGAGGCTTTAATCACAGAGATTAAACATCTGCTTCAACAAAGGAAAGAAATATAGAATAAGAAATAGATAAGAAAAGAAAAAATAAATGATAAGAAAGTTTGATAGTTCATTAAATTACACATGCCACCCTCCATTTTATTCATTGTAATAAAAAATTTAACTTCTCTTTAACATCCTTTTTGACTATGTTGTGTAACCATTTATGCATTTATTTTTCTTGCCATTAATTTCTTAAGGCCACAATATGTGTATTGACTAATAAGGCTTATAGAAATTGTAATCTTTCTAGAGCTAGATAGAATTTTGTCTAAAGTCACTAAACACAGAAACATTCTCCTAAAAGGTAATATTTAATTACCGGAGCTCTGTATTTCACACTCTAGAATTTTCTTTCTGTCATGCAGCTAATAGAAAGAGGTCTGTCTAACTGTGGGCCACCAGTTAGAGGAGCTGCTGTGTCCTATAATAAAGGCTTATCAGTGATTGAGTTTTTGACTTAAACCACACAATCTGTAACTGTTGTAAGTGATTGTTGTCAGGTAGCTTTAGGGTTTTTTTTATGCTTTTTATTCTGCATGCAAAGTTCCTTCTGCCTCAACTAACAAGCAGTGTAAGAATTTGTCTGCACTTTTCCATATTTGAATATTACTCTTGGATCACAAAATCTTTTATACATATATTTAAATTCTAAAGTAGCTATATAAGGTCTATCTTTAAAGATAAATAAAGTCACATGAGCATCACCTTAAGGTGAGAAATATATATGAAAAATATGTTACACGTTGAAAGGTGCGTGTACAAAGCAGTGTAAAAAATCATACATTTTATTTCAGGAAATGAAGAAATGAACAGACCAAACTATTTGATTAAACATAGTTTTTTGACAAATTATATGTCTTAGCACTCTTCCATCTCTTTTGTCTGCTTGGGTCACTGAGATTTCCTCTGGGTGTCATCGTATAAGGCAGAAAAGGGTATCTTTTGTCCACCAGCAAGTAACAATGTAGTGCCCAGTAATGATTCTATTGTATAATACAAATATAATAAAAATAAACATTGTGTAAAGCAACATTTGCTTTATAGTTTTTTGTACTATATTTGTATTATACACTTGAATCATTACATCCTGAAAATCAGCCATTTAGCCTCAACATATAGTGATGAGGTGGGGTCATCACATACAGTATGAGCTGGTAAGTGGAAGCAGTAATGAGTTAAATAGTTAAAACACCAAAAGATTAAGGACAGAAAATTAAGTTGCACCTGCACATTTATACTATGGACAGATTTCATATTATCAGTGTCCTTTAGTAACTGATGGAGCTTTAAAACCGGCTGCAATTTATGCACACAATAGCATTTGGAAACCCTGAAAAAAATATTATATTAAAAAATGTAGGTGTGTGTGCGTGAATCTATACAAATGAACAATATCCTACATCTTAAATTATAGATATATTTTCCGACAAAAGACAAAGCTGCCTCTTTATATAATATTATACAGAAAAATGTGAAGGGTGCAGAAGGAGAGAAAAACACAAGATCTGTAAGTGAGCTTCGAACTCGCTCTCTTGTGTGCTCCATTGTACATTAATGACGCACTGTCCACTACACTATTGCCGTGCTCTGAAAAAGTGTGTAATGCAGTGATTTATGACCAAGGAACTGTACAAAAATGTAAAAAACAGTTCAGTGCCAGGCATACTGTACAGGTGGTACAGTAAATGTTTTTTATGGTAAGCGCAGACCCGCGGTTTGTCACATTTGACTTCAAAATGGTTTGTTAAATACATTAACATTATAAATTTGGTTATAAAAAAACTATGCACTTATAACCCTCTCACAACGAAAAAACTTGTATCTGTGCATCCACATTCATAAATATTCCCATCAAAAGAGCACGCAATGCTCAGTAAACTCTCTGAAACAGTCAAACACTGGAAGATAGCAACTTAAGGCTGATTTATACTTCTGTGTCAAACGCCGGCATATGCTACGTCGCTGACGCATAGCCCTTCGCCGTGGCCGTCGTGCACCTCTCAAAAAATTTAACTAAACGTCGCAACGACGCAAAGCGCAAGCTCTGTGATTGGTCGGCTTGGTAGCGCTGACGAGTCTGGGCAGGACCGAGAGCCGCATGAATGGTGCGAGCCTGAAGGAGCGATTGTTTACAAGTATGGAGTCCCGTGAAGGAGCTCCGGATGTAAAGTTTTGTTTTGTGTTTACCCATAGTTAAAGTTGTTCCACGTCCGCGGGTTCCTGCCTCAAAATGAGCGAGTTTGAGCCACTTGTACATCCCGGAAGTGTTCAGGAAAAGCAAAAAAGCAGCGAAGAAACTCGACACAGAGGAACATTTACACCTCATTGCCAACTAGCATTTCGAAAGTGTTAATGCAGACCAACAGAGACAGCGCGCAGAAGAATAAATGCACAGCTAAGCGCGTTGCATGCGCCGTGGGTTACGCCGGTCACATGACGCAGAAGTATAAACCAGGTTTTACTCTCTGAACATAACCTGCTCCGGAGTAGGTTATCTTCAGAGAGTAAGTTGCTATGGCTACTTAACATACCCAGAAGTTACCTCCGATTTTGGAACCAAAGCTGAGGTTATCCACCTACTTACTCTCTAACTTACCCGGGTATGTCACATAACCTGCTTTCTGGAACAGTTGCTCCATCGGGCTCGCGAGGCTCTCGGTCCTGCCCAGACTCGTCAGCGCTACCAAGCCGACCAACCACAGAGCTTGCGCTACGCGTTGTTGCGACATGTAATTACATTTTTTGAGAGATGCGCATCAGTGATGGCCACGGCGTAGGGCTACGCTTCGATGCGTAGGCTGCGCCATAGCAGAAGTATAAATCCTTAAGGGCACCACGAGGCGGCGAGCCCAGGTCAACAGACAAACAGATGGACAAATGGACGGACAGACAGCTAGACAAACAGATGATAGATAGATAGATAGATAGATAGATAGATAGATAGATAGATAGATAGATAGATAGATAGATAGATAGATAGATAGATAGATAGATAGATAGATAGATAGATAGATAGATAGATAGATAGATAGATAGATAGATAGATAGATAGATAGATAGATAGATAGATAGAGATGTTGATCCACAAACATATTCTTTTAAATTTATTGCAATTGTCAAAATATGTTTAACAATAAACAGGCTGTGAACCAAAAGTTGCTGCAGACTTTAATTTAGTTTGATGACATGTTTCCAACTGAAATGTTATATTGAAAAGGGATGCGATTTTAATTTTGGTGCACAACCTCTCATCTTTCACTTTTCACAGCAAACTCAATATTGGAGGGATATGGCTAACCTTTGTAAGCTATGGCTAACTGATCAGAAAGGGACTGACATTCCAGAAGGGACACAATTGGTTAGATTTTGAATAAAGGTTAGCCATAAAAACTGTGGATTCACTTGCATGTATTAATTGCAAACATTAAGAAGAACAATGTGTGCTAGAAAAAATGTTTTGATTTTGATTCCATGTGGATTTTAACTGAGCATGAATCACATGAAAACATTGCATTACAAGCATGTGACTTGTGTATTTAGAAAATTTGAGTATTTACAAAAATGTACATTTTGCATTCATGCCAGTAAAATGATTGTTTTCATACAATTTATAGATGTACAAATTGTAAAGACATTTAGCTAGCTAACATATAGTTTCATTAAGTTCATAAAAAGGAAGATGATCCCCTCTGTTCAGCGTCACATGTGAGAAATCATCAGCAAGGTGTATTTTGTGAGCAGATGTTGCTGTAAAAAAAAACAAATAAAAATTCTTGTCATTTCATCTAAATATCAAACAAATCTTTGTGTAACTTTGTGATCAAAGAGCATGCTTTTTCTACTGTTTTATAATGTAAGTGAAAGATAATTTCCAGTTAATCAAATCATAAAATCACATCAACCTTTGGATGCTTTATCATGTTTCAGATCACTTAAACTAGGTCTAAATTCCTTGCTTATCTGTTTTCCTGAACCTATTAGCATAGAGGAAAAGATCTAGAGCTAAACTGCTTTTTCCAGATAACATGGAATTTTACAAAAGGAAACAGTGCTTACATTTCTCTTGGTCAAGATGCATACGCAGAGGAGGGACCTCACTAAATGTTGCCATCATAACCTGAATTAGGCTGTGCAGGTCACATTTGGTCTGTAAAGCCCCCAAAAACAAACAGATCATGTCATGAAAAGAGAGAGAAATGTATATTTGCAATGCAACCAGAAAAAACAAATGTAGCATTATTAAACTTTATAATTACATGTTTCCACTCATCCAAGTAAGGCATCATGATCTCTCCATTGCTGTTGACGTATTTGCTGGTCACAACAACCATCTCACAGGTGGGTTTCAGATAGCAGATGGGGGCAGTGCGTGGATAACTTTCTCTCAGCCACAAAGTCACTGGAATATTGTACTGTTTTCCTAAACCACAAAGTGTTTAAATGTTGTGATTGCTGCACTCTTGTAATATATATATATATATTATATTATTATATATAATATAATAATATTTATTATTTTTTATAGCAAAATAACAGGGAAAGGGAGCTTACTTTCATAGAACACCTGAATGGTTCCAGTCAAATTGATCAAGTTTTTTGCTGTGCCATCATTAAAGACTGAGGAAATTATAAGAAAATAGTTTTTTTATTAGGATACTTAATGTGCTAAAAATAAATATGCACCCTCATGTTCACGTTAATGTTCATAAATATTTGTAAAATGGCCATTTAATTTTTCATAAAAGGATTACAGTATAAAAAAAAACGGATTACAGTATTAAACAACGATATGTGAGAAAGTGTGACGTCTAATCATGAAAGCAACCAGAACGTTGTAAAACATCATTTAATAAAATGTATTTCCTGCTTTGTAGACAGTTTTTGCATTAGAATTGTTTACAAATTACTTTAATTTCGTTTAAAAAAATTTGCTATAAAAAAATAGCTTTTTTACATAATTTTAAAAAAGAGAAAATACTGAGTCAATGCAACATTATTAAATGAGCATTTTCAAATTCACAATCGTTTCCTGTTAAAATGCTCAAAGCTGGGCAGTCTGTAATTGCATGCTTCAAAATAAGAATTTGTATGTATTTGTAATGTAATCTAATGCAAATCAAATTAAAATGGTACATGTAAACATTATATGTAACAATGCATGTCAAGCCCATAGATATATTGTGAGAATTGCTATACAAATAAACTCACCAAATTTCTCTAGTACTGGTTCAAGATGCTGATAATGAGACAAAACTAAAGATATCTCTGACAGAACTTCTGTCCTGTGATCATATGTCTGAAAACATCCACCATCATTATTTAAGTATAACACACATGTATTTTACACACACATAAGAGTTATCATAAAGCTATGTTGTATTTGAAAGTAACGTTTTTTTAAAGTTATATATATATTATTTAAAGTTGTAAAATGTAAAGTTTTTTAAAAATTACCTTAGGTAACATCCTCCTCACATAACGAATTGTTCTGATGGTCATGACTTTACATTAAATAATAGACAGAGAAGAAAAGCTGTTTGTCCCAGGAGATATTGCAGTATTTTTCACAACAGGAAGTTTACAAAGTTCATAAGCAGCTCAATAAAAATGTTATTGTCAGAAACAGCCAATAGGAAATGTTTTAGGTCAATTTATGTGAAATGAACTATGATCTGCAAGCTAAAGGTCTTTTAGAACAAATATACTGCAAATCAATACAGAGTCTCTGTTTATTGTTGAACATATTTTGACATGTTTGTGGATCAACATATCTATCTATCAAATAAATTAGCTATTAGAATATGTTATGAAATATTTGAAAAATAATGAACATTTAATAGGAGGGCTATATTATTTATAACATCAGATTATTTGTGTTCATTAAAAAATTTAATAAATTATATATTGATTTTATATTGCTGTTGGTATGTAATTAGCAAGTGTACATACACACATAATAATAGTTAAAAGTAAGAATTAATTTTAATACAGTGAATTTGATTAAATAACCAGTTGAAGTCAGAATAATTAGCCCCGTTTTGATATTTTTTTTTTTTAATATTTCCCAAATTATGCTTAACAGAGCAAGGAAATTTTTACAGTATGTCTGATAATATTTTTTTTCTTCTGGAGAAAGTCTTATTTGTTTTATCTCGGCTACAATAAAAGCAGTTTTAAATTCTTTAAAAAACAATTTTGGGACAAAATTATTAGCCCTTTTAAGCTATTTTTTACGATAGTCTACAGAACAAACCATCATTATACAATAACTTGCCTAATTACCCTAACCTGCCTAGTTCACCTTATTAACCTAGTTAAGCCTTTAAATGTCACTTTAATCTGTACAGAAGTGTTTTGAAAAATCAAGTAAAATATTATTTACTATCATCATGAAAAAGGTAAAATAAATTAGTTATTAGAAATAGTTTTCTAAAACTATTATGCTAAGAAATTTGCTAAAACAATATTCTCTCCATTAAACAGAAATTTGGGAAAAAAATAAACAGGGGAGCTAATAAGTCAGGGAGGCTAATAATTCTGACTTCAACTGTATATGTAAACTGCAATATTCTTAAATAATATTTTTAAATGTATGTATATATTTTAATTAACTGAGTATCATATCCTCAAATATGACAGTTTTGGTACATTTACAGTACAATATTGCAATTTGCAAAACAGTAAGTGCATTTCTCAAAACAACTCATACGAATAGCAAAACACCATGAATTACACGCAAAAGCGTACTCAAAATCTTTGGTTCATCTCTCAAAAATACAATAAATGTCTAAGTCAATGAACATGTCATTGTCGTCAGAACAACAAGTCCTTGTGTCACTGTCAAATTGCTTAATCATGTTGCCAATATAACAGTGTGCTTTGAAAGGGTGTTCTAGTGTTAAATAGGGCTCCAGATTTGATGACAAATAATTATAATTTTTTGGCTACACTTTATGTGGAAGTTTAATGGCAAGAGACTGGACAAGATTCACATTAAAGGGGTGGTCTACTACGATATCATATTTTGAACTTTAGTTAATGTGTAATGTAGCTATGTGAACCTAAACAACATCTCTAAATGTAAAATGCCCCATGCAAAGGGAAAGTTAGCTTAGCAAAGCCTACAATGAATAAACTTTGGGAACTACAAAAAAATACTTCTGGGCCTGTGAGATCACAAAGTAACTTTTTACTGCGCACACACACTGCACACCTAAGGGGTGTGGTCAGAGGCACTGTAATGTTACAGCAGAGAGCTGAAATGCCAACTTGGAGAGCTAAAATGCAAAATTGGAGTCACAAACTGTAAGTGTTTTTATTTTTTAAAAATTGATTATGACATGTATAGTGTCTAGCGGTAACAGTATGCTGTAGCAAAGGTGTAAACGACGAGAAATGCTTTGGCATCGCAAACAATTTAGCTACAAATTCATATTTTTTTAGTCAAACCATTGTAAACGCACACACTCTTTACCAGCGCGTGCAGTGTCTCTCTATGCATGTGCGACTGTGCAGTGTCTTTATATAGACAGCTTTTCCTGCGTTCTACATCTCAGATAATGAACCTGCAAAAGATATGTGAGCGATTCATTTTACTGACACTTGCATATTCCGAATATATGTAAAAAAATGTCATGTTACAAGTTGAGTTAAAATACAGGATAGCTCACCTAACTCGTGTTGCAGCAAAAAAATCAATCAAGGCTCACACAGGTCGCGTCCCACATCTTGTGCTTTATTCTTTTGTCAACAGTGTCACTGTACAGGGTGGGCCATTTATATGGATACACCTTAATAAAATGGGAATGGTTGGTGATATTAACGTCCCATTTGTGGCACATTAGTATATGTGAGGGGGCAAACTTTTCAAGATGGGTGGTGACCATAGAGGCCATTTTGAAGTCGGCCATCATGGATCCAACTTTTGCTTTTTTCAATAGGAAGAGGGTAATTTGACACATCAAACTTTTTGGGAATTTCACAAGAAAACAATGGTGTACTTATTTTTCACGTAACTTTATTCTTTGTTATTTACAAGTTTCTGACACTTATAAAATTTGTTCAATATGCTGCCCATTGTGTTGGATTGTCAAATGTCATGGTTTATTCTTTATTTAGCCTTCCTTCTATATTATTATTATTATTATTATTATTATTATTATTATTCTCTGTGATTTTGTGTTGGGGGGATGGAGATTATTACTAATTGCTGTTTCTTTTCTTTTGAGGCTGGCTCCGCCTTGCACCTGCCGCTAATTCGGCTTGTTGCCTTTATAAGCTGAAGCTGAGTGTGTGTCAAGGTGGCTCTTGATTTCCAGCGCGTCTGACTGATCCTCACGATCTTGTCTCTCTTTGGAGAGTATGACCCGTACTTGCTGAGAATCTCTCTGTATCTTGCCCTGATGAAGGTCCGAAACTTCTGTGCGCGTCTTGTGCAGCCGCTGCTGAGGAGCCATGCTGGTGTTGTGCCGTTTCTTTGATCTATGTTTTTTATTAATATTTTCTTTATGATTTATGTTTTGTTTGTTTATTAAAGTAATTGCTTTCACTAAGATATAGTTTAATTAATGATTTATATTTCTGTTGCCACCTTAATTAAATAGGACACGTATCTTCTGGTCTCTAAATAAATAGAGAATTGTAATTCTGGTTTCTGTGTCCTTTTATGTTGCTAACCCCTTCCCTAGACGAGCCTTAAAAACTGGGGGTTCGTAACACAACCAACCCTCTTTTCCCACTCTTCACACACTTATAGCAAAACTGCAAGAGAAATGCCAGCATAGGCTTTCAGTATCTAGTTTCAGGTACTGCATATCTTGTATCTTCACACAATAGATAACAAAAATAGTGGGGCCATTCTGCATCAATAGGCTCATTTCCACTGTCGGGCCAGAGCTTTTATTGGGTCGGGCCGGGCCGGGCCGTGCCAATCGCCCAGGAGGTTGAGCAGTGAGGCCGAAATCATGTCGCGTTTCCACTGTTGGGCCAGTAGCTTGCAGCGCATCCCGCAAACCCCACCCCCAGAACCAAATGTCATGCAACCCACCCATTTCAGTGGAAATCAGACAGATAAAGCACACCATCGCTTCATTAAGGAACAATTAACAGAAGACAACCAAAACAAACAAATGACTTTACTGTACAGCAGTACCTTATATGTCTATACACATTTCCCATTGTATTTTCATTCAATATATATTTGTTCACTCACCGACCAACTGTTGGCATCGTGCATTGAGTAGTCTCGCCACTAACGGAGGGACCCAGCGCAATGAGCGCACCCATCCATCATATAAAAGCACAGTTATTCTCCAGTAATAAGTCGGTATGAAGTGTATTTTATAACATCATCGTTTTGATAGACGTCATCAAACATTCAGCCCAAATGCTCCGGAGAGACCTGAAACATATTTTCCCTATAGGCTATACGACACTTAATAGGTGATTCCCCTTTATTTAAGGATGTTGCATATTGTTCTGTGATATTAAGTAAAATGTTGTTTCAGCACATAAGAGCATGTTATAAAATATAGCTTATATTTTGTTGCGCTCAGCAGCTATTCACTAATAAAGCTGTACATTTAAAATAATTTTTAAAAATTTTACCACGTTATCTTCCGGCTATGGCGCCTTGCTGAAGAGACGCACGAGTTAGCCCAGCGGTAATATATCTTTAAAAATCCTAAATTTTTCCCGGTTTTATTTAACATTCGAACTCAAATTATTCAAGACTGAACACTGCTTAAGATGTCACCTAAACCAGCAAAGCAAAAGGCGAAAAAAACTGAAACTACAGAGATTACATCTGACTCTGAAAGCATTGAAGAAGTGCGAAGTAATGGCGGAGAAAATTCGTCGCTGCTTTGCGGAGGTCAACCTGGCGATTTACACGCTGAAACAAGTGGCATTATACAAGCAATAAACTCGATTAAAGTTGACATGGCCTCTCAGTTCGAAACTGTCCTCTCAGCCGTACACGATATCAAAACCCATGTAGCAGAATGTTTCGGAAGACTAACACAGGCAGAGGAACGCATATCTCAAACTGAAGATTCCGTCTCCACTCCTCAATCAGCTACTACCACTCTCGAAAAGAAAATTACCTCACTAACTTGGAAAATCGTTGTCCACGCTCAAATTTAAGGATTCTTGGTTTACCAGAAAAATCCGAGGGCGATGATGTATGTACATTCTTAGAAAGCTGGTTACCTGAAGCGCTGGACATGGGACCACTTCAAAAACCACTCGCTATAGAAAGAGCCCACAGGATCGGTTATGCGCGCCAAACTGCAGCGGATACAAAAGCAACTCCAAGAGTGATGATCGCAAAGTTTCTGGATTACAGAGACAAGGAACGCGTGATGCGTGCGGCCAGAGCAAAGAAAGAGGTACTATTCCAGAATCACAGAATCATGTTCTTTCCGGACCTTTCTGCTGAAGTAAACAAACATCGGAGGCAGTTCGACGAAGTAAAGAAGAAGCTGCGAGCTAAGGGACTGATTTATGGATTCATCTTTCCAGCGCGCCTCCGAGTAACTATTGATGGCCATGCTCATGTCTTTCAAAATTCATCAGAAGTTAACGACT